TACCTACAACATTGAACTGAATTTCAAAGAGTCTTATATAAGAATTGAATAATCTCAAGATGTAGAGAGAGAAATTAGAGTTTAAAACTTAATTTTTAAAAGATTATTATGTATAAGATCAGATTATATTAAAAAAAAACGTAATTATTACACACCTATTAGTTATTTTATCAAAAATATCAAGCTTTTTTGAAGCATTTGTTAACATTCTTTGTAAGAACATTATTAGAGCTCATAGATCGTTGACCTTTACCTTTCTGTATACCACCTGAATATACGGGCAACATAAAATTGAATAGTCCGTCAGGTGTTAACGTAGATGGATTGCTGTATCACGCCCTGTTTGCTTTAACAGCGCCGATTAATTTTCAATGCCCTCTTCATTGTTTATGGTCCATCAAAATTGTAAATGCTTCTACGAACCCGATGAGTAAACAATAGCCGCCCGATAGCTTATGAAGATATAAGATTTTAATCGATATGCATTATGTGTTTATATTTCCGCATACATAAATGAGTAAAAATCTAATTTTTAAACTTATAATCGCAGCCTGCTATTTTAGATTGTATCTATCAAAATAAAAAAGCCAAGTGCGAGTCGGATTTGCAAGAGGGAACAGAATATTGGGGGGAAGTGTGGAAGCACAATTTATAATGTATGTATGGCCAAGTTAACTTAAAACTTATGATTAATGTTCTAAAACGTCAATACGAGACATGACCTTTTTTATTTTTACCCTCTTAGGGGATATATCTTAGGGTGATGACCTTTCATGTATATGTACAAATTAATCGACAGCCAGGGCGAGTCACTACTACATATATATATATATATATATATATATACATATATACATAACATAATTGCTCCATAAAAATAATCATATAAAATTGACTACTTACTAACTCATAAACAAATTACATAATCTCGTTACTTAACGTAAACCTTTCATTGGTTATATTATGAACAGATAAAGGTCGTCTGTATAATAAAGAAAGCGGTTCACGACGTTTTAAATACCAACCAATAAATCCTCGATCGCCATATGGGTTTCGTAATGACGTTAAATCGTGATTCACTGTGGGAACTGGGACTGGTACGAGTATCCTGTACGGAAATTATATACACGCACGTACAAAGTGCAATATTTTTTAATATTAAATTTAATTGAGATATGAAATTTATGAACGCAATTATAATATTTTCATTTCGTATAAATTTCCAATATCAGTTTTGTCAAAAATCCGGATAATAATATGTACATGTAGTTGTCACTTTTATCTTAATATTTCTATGCAAAAATGTAGATTTTTTTCTCCACTGCGTAATAAAAGGACTAAAAAGATATTTTAGCATAAATAACGTTATTGAGGAAATAACAATTTATTAATAAATACTTTTTAAATGGTCACTTACTTGCCTTGAATCATTTAATGTAATTTTTTTACTGATATTTTTATGCTGTATTTTAATAGTTTAGTTTAGAAACTGGCTTACCTAGTTCATTGTGCATAGTTAAGTTACGTCACGTTTGTTTGTTTGTATGTTTGTTTGTTTGTTTGTTTGTTTGTTTGTTTGTTTGTTTGTTTGTTTGTTTGTTTGTTTGTATGTCTGAAAACTCTGTATCTACTGTACAGATTTTCATAATTATTTTACCATTATAAAGTTACATTATCCAAAAGTAAGATAGGTTATGTTTTATTTTATTTTTTCAAAATTACTGATTTTTTTTCGACCCTGATATCAGTGGACGTGAAGGCGGGTAACTAGTTTATACTAATATTATAATTATAAAAAGGGAGAGTTTGTTTGAACGCGCTAATCTCAGGAGCTAATAATCCGATTCGAAAAAATCATATTGCATTAGATAGCCCGTTTATTCAGTAAAGCTATATATATAGCTATATATATAGGCTATAGGTATATCATATAATATGTATAGTCTATCTATTCCATACTAACCGTTAAAACGTACCTAGGGACGAACACGAGCGAAGCGAGACTAAGTCGCTAGTCATTTCATAAGTTAAGAAATAGTAGTAATTTTACATTACTCTAAAAGGCTTGTAAGCTGTGAGATAACATAAAACTTTTGCGTTTTGTAAGCAACACATGCACGTGTCAAGGTTTTTGACGTTTTAATGGGACCACTTAAGTGTTCTAGATTTGAGTTTGTAAAAAATAAGCTTTCTTACATATCTAGGAATTGTAGACTGGTCTGACCGGTCCGTGGTTGAGTCACAGCTCTCGATCGATCTGGTTTCTTGATACTTTTTTAGATTCTTCTCTAGCATATATAGTAATCTGGCGTGCTATCTCCTGCATATTCATTGCCTTATTTAAGTGTTAAAAGTTAATATTTTTCCACAAAGAAAAAGTATCACAAGTAGAAAGCTTCTGATACTTGTAAGTGGTGCAGCAGTTCGATTTACATTTATAAGTCGATAGGATGATCTCAATAATCTTAAAATTGTTGATTCATACTGCTTTGTGAACATTGTTCCGCATTCATATAGAAAAAGAAGGACGAAGCAAAAATTTCCTACTATATTTTTTCACTATCCTGTGGGAAATAAAGTCAAAATTGTCACTGGATTGATTCTGCACGGACAGACCATATAATTAAGTTAGAACTAGGAGAGTATCTGAAAAACACTTCAGGCATACTACCAGCCATTGCCTTTTATGACAGCATTTTTTCTTTTTTAATAGATACCGTCAGTCCACAGAGACGGCACTGGCCAACGGAGTTATAAAGCGAATGCTTTACGAGCTCGTATTCGCCGGGGTACTTAAAATTTAATATCTGCTCTATCGGACACGCGTAGTTTAGATAGCTGAACTTTAATATATTACATAAAACGCTCATAATACTTGTGAGGTCTTTAATGTAAAATGAATTTATATTAAGACTAGCATTGCCCGCGGCTTCGCCCACGTTCAGATGACCTAAAACCAACTTCTTAGGTTTTACATATTAGTATACTTTTACACGAGACATTTTTCCGCCGTAAAAAGTATCCTATATATTGACCCGGATAACCAGCTATCACCATAACAAATTTCATCAAAATCCCTGCAGTAGTTTTTCTGTGATACGGTAACAGACATACAGACAGACAGAGAGACAAAAATTCTAAAAACTATAGATTCGGCCTGGTATCGATAATAATGTTTATTTCAATATTTTTTTCAAATTTCCAAATTATTTTCCAAAAAATATTTAATGTACAGATTCGGCTTAGTTACAATTTTATTATATGTATAAATGATTCTATAATAAAGTGGTATGATTTGCTTAGTTACTACTGGAGTAACTACTGCAGTTATTATCTGACAATTTATGGTATAGACATTAGCTTTATTTGTTTTTCTTTCTTTTTTTTCCAGATATGTCTCCGATAGAGCCGTGATTTTACCTGTTACTCGGAATATGGCGTCGTAGGTGGTGTAGTATTGTTTAAGCGGTAAGTCTATTGATCCCATTAATTATAATATAATTATATCCCAATAATATATATTAATGATTAGTCATTAGTCGTCATAAAAATAAAATGCGCTTCACGAGTTTAAACAGACAGCGTACCAACTGCATAGTTTAAAATAGAGAAACAAAAAACTAATTTGTTTTAACCATTTTTATATCTTAAAAGGTGCATTGAACTAAATGTGTCATATTACCTTACGGTGAATATGAAACTTCAGCTTAAAATACATAACTCCATTTTAAAGCATTACGGGCGAGATGCGAATGTTTTCTTAGCCAGATGTTGACAGAAACTGCTTATTATAGTTTTACAATGCCTACGCGTAGACAAGGCCATTTATGTTTCAATTTTAAGCATTTCAGTACTTCAATTTAAAAAAAGTATATCTGTATACATATTATAAATGTGATGGTTTGTATGTATGGATGTTAGTTATTCTTTAAAGCCGGAACGGCTGAACGGATCTGGATGAAATTTAGCACAGAGATTATAGTCTGGAATAACACATAGGCTACTTATATTTATCCCGGAAAAATATACGGTTCTCGAGGGATACATTTGTTTTGGTTGTATTTGTGTATATATAATATCGAAATCTCATTCGAAAATCATTTTCGATACTCGAAAACTGAGAAATTAGAGTTTACCGATTATCCCGTATTAAATGTGTCTAAAAACTAGATTTTATGGCACACGATTCTACATCAACGCGAGAAATAAGGATATTTGAAAGTCAAACCCAAAAGATTTTTCAAAAAAGCTTTAAAGTTTTGTAAGAAAATGACTTTTATATATTTTTGTTTAACTTTGAAATGCTAGCAAAAAGTTTGAAATTGCATAATGTTAAAGTACCTACAAAACTATAATATTATCATGGAAAATTTTGATTCGGTGACATTACACCTCCAGGTAAATTTCTAAAAAATAATTAAATTTCTAAGAAATCTATTGTTAACTGTAAAGCCGGCGTGTCCGCGGTCGTGGAGGGATTAATTTATTAATTGATATTGTTACCCTTGACCTGACTTGACCTAGTGAATAGAATTTGAAGCACTAACTCTTGTAATTATCTCTTGTAATATGTAATATTGTATGTATCACAAAGATTTTTAAGTAGATAATGCTCATATATTATCATAGAAAAAGGCAGTGGTAGCCCAGTGGTAACGCGCTTGCTTGGGAAACCGCGATGCGGGTTCAAATCCCGGGTCTCGCACCTCTGATATTTTTATGTGCGAATCATTACATGATTACCACTTGCGTTACGGTGAAGGAAAACATCGTGAGGAAACCTGCATGTCTGAGGGAACTTAGCAAGTTTTCGAAAGATATGTGAAGTCCGCCAAACCGCACTTGGCCAGCATGGTGGACTATGACCTCATCCCCCTCGTATTGAAGAGAGGCCCGTGCGTAGCAGTGGGACGTTAAATAGGTCTGAATACAATGCTCATATACAGAGTGAATTTGTAATTTGTAATTATATCATCCAGGTGTCGGTGTGAGTGGCGGGCATGGGCGCGGCGGGCGCGTCGGACGAGTACTCGCCGCCGCGGCTTGCGCGGCTGCTGCACGCGCTGCCGCATATAAACGTAACGCTTCATCGCGTTAATGACACCTTCGCGCCCAATTCGCCCATCTACCTTGAGGTTAGCTGGTCCAAGTCAATTAGCTTTAATTTAAACATTTATGTTTTTATTTAAAAGACGGACGGATTGCCTCGTTGGTCTAGTCACTAATGGGAGGTATTGAGTTCGAGTCCCGGGTCAGAACAGTGTTGAACGATTTCCGGTCAAGGAACTCTCAGAAATAGACCGGTGTTGGGAGGTTAGCGGTGCTACGCACCCTTGCCTCGGAGAGCAATCACAGCCATCGATCTTGCGCCTGATCTGTCACCGGCTTTTTGCAAGTTATTATACCATCAGATTTAAAGAGTGTAAGAAATGTAGAGTGCACTTGTGTCTGCACATAATCTCTTGTTGTGTAGCTACGAGTAATATTGGTGGGATTAGCCATCGTGACCGAAATCAGTTAGGAGGACCTTAAAATTATATACGCTTGTGGTCGTGGCTTAAAGTTCAGTTCTAGCACCATATTTGTACAAACTACAGACTATTCTCATAATTCTTTGTATAGTCATTTACGTACCATAACAATTGATCGAAGAATTGACATTAAATTGAAATTACTGTTTCTACTTCTACTTCATCTCTTATGTATAGGTACTAATATTATAAAGAGGTCAAGTATGTGACTTTGTGAGTTTGTGACGTTGTAGGGCGTAATGTTCGGATCTGCTGAACCGATTTACATGAAATTTGGTAAGATGATAGTTTGAGACCCTAGGAAGGATATAGGATACTTTTTTCCCTTAAGAGGGTGAAAATGGGGATGAAATTTTGTATGGGGAATCAACCTAGTAACGAACCCAAGCGAAGCGAGGGTGTGTCGCTAGTAACAGATAAAAAGTAGTATCGTATTTTCTTAGCAGTCATCTATGTGCTATTATTTAGGTTAAGCAACGGACTATATTGTTGCTGCTTTTAACTTCTAACTGGCCTATTTTTAAAGTAGGGATTACTAAAGTAGCTGGCTGTAGATGCTATACGAACTAAGTAACTAACGTGGACGGGGACGTAGAAGCTTGTTGACAGAAATAGGCTAGGTCCATCGCTCGAGTACACGTCCCGAAGTCTAAGAGTGTCGTAGATACTTAAGGTCACTTATGTTATATTTTTAGCCAATTACATTTTTACTCTACATTTTATATAATAAACTAGCAACTTAACCTTGCTTCGCTCGGGTACGTCCCATGGTACGTTTTTTTTTTTATTTAATCATTTGTTTTAGGTAATATTTACAAAAGCTTATATATGTAAACAGAGGCCCATAACATAGGTATATACCTCAAAAACTAACTATATATTAATTTTAAAACTTAGTTTTGAATAGAAAAAAATAGTTATTGTGAGTGTACCTTCATATATCGAGGTCGTGTTTTTTCTATATAAAACATATGTTTACTCGATGTCCGTAAATGAATATCACCATATTTCTGTCGTTAAAAAAAATTGTACTACCCATACGAGTTTGGCATTAAAAGCTGTGTTCCAAACAATAAAACGGCAATCCACAATGACTGTCACAATTAACTGTAATAATCGACGTACAACTTATATACAAGTAACTTTAGATTTACACTTTTATGCTATGCATTTTTCAGAGCCTGGGAATACTCGGCTCGATACCCGGTGCATGGCTGATTTTGACACTGACGGTGTTGCTCATATACTTGCTTACAAGATGCTGCGACAGAAAGCAACGCCCGCCAAGGAGTATAACTGCACTTAAGGTGAGCTATATTTTAAAAAGATTATTAAAGTTTTCATCTATTTATCTTATGAAGTTTTTTTGTTTTTTTTTTTTTTAATTTACATAGGCATTCTAGGTTAGGTTTTACGTAGGTCTTCTGTGGAAATTAAACCTACATATAAATTTCATCACAAACAGACACTTAGATACACCAGATAGTTTTATTGAATGTGATTCTATGAATCTCAGTAAACTGAGAATTGTATGGAAGGAAATTTGGCAACGATTCAGTTAAGACAGTCAATGAACGAACGCATGTAGCATGGAATTGATAACATAAGGGCCTTTACGAAGTTCAGCGTCCTTTGAAACTGACCTGCAAAACTAATTTCGTTGGGCGTCCTGCCAATTAGGCTATTGGCTTGCTAGCGTTCGATACTATTACAAAATACTTGTCGCCGTTCGCATGCACTCGAATCCATAACAGCAATTACGGTCTACTATATTGTTTGACTTTGTGTTTTTTTTGTAATAACCATAACATTTTATTCTTCTAAGAAGAAAAAGATAACAAATGTGTTCGTGGACGTTTGCGAATGACGCATTTTCGATAAGAAATAATGTTTTTATAATAAAACTTAACAGCTGACGGCTCACCCTCGCTTCGCTCAGGTTCGTCCATAGCTTGCTTCCCAATACAAACTTTCATCCCCATTTTCACCCCCTTAAGGTATGATTACCGGGATAGAAACTGTATAGGTGTAATATAAACGGAATAGGTTTTAAACATCTTCTTACTAAATGTCATCTAAATCGGTTCAATAGATCCAGAGATTGCCCCCTACAACGTCACAAACTCACAAACTTTAACTCTTTATAATATTAGTATAGATTGAATGATGCCGGAGTTGAGCAAGGCAAGTTTGTGTGTACATATGTGTATCATATCATTGTATAAAAACATTTGTTTAAGACATCATATCTGATTGGCACTGCTTGTATACGTAGAACTGAAGTAGTAGGTACCACTAATCTATGTTACCTACAGTATATTAATCATTAGCGACTTACTCTAGTTTCGCTCGGGTTAGTCTCTAAGTGCATTCGTATTTATAATATTACTAGCACAACCCTAGGCTTCGCTTGCGCTAAAAGTCATCCCCTATTTTACCCACTTATGGGATGAATTTGGAAAAATGCTAAAACATGTATTTATTTAATTGTACTTATAATTGAAAAGCATTAATACCAAGTTTCAAGTAATTCTGATTCTGATCGTAAATAATTTTTTGGGTTGTATTATGTGTTTTCCCGTGGGAATAAGATAATCTTCCGCGGTAAAAAGTAGCCAATGTTATCTCCACAAATTCTCCATCCTCCACAAAAATTACGCCAATCCGTCAATCCGTTTTGACGTGGAAGAAGGACAAACAAACACAATTTAACATTTGTTATATTAATATGGATTATATACAGGTAGTTACTTAGCTACGGCAGGTACTTTTGGAAAATTAAAAATTTATTCAAAACAGCTGGCCTGTTTCAGCGAAATCGATTAACAAACATACACACATACAAAATTTCTCATTTATGAGAATAGTGTGATACACAAAATTCTCTTTTTAAGAATAATAATAATAGAAACAAAATTCTGTGAAGTAATATAACAAGCATGTGTGAAATAAACAAACAGAAACAAAAACATTCATACATATAGATGAAAGACTAATCATATAGAGGATGTAAATGTGTTTATCAATTCGTAATAGAAGATTAGCTTTCACCACCCAGCCGTCTTATAATAACCCTGTGAGTTAGATCATATGTTCTCAAGCTGACTTTACGCGCCATATGTTTTTGTGACTTGCTCCTCGTTATGGTCGTTCACTGTCGAGTGTCCGCCGCTTGTTGATTTGATGTAATCTCATGGTTCGTTATGGAATGGTGTCTTGAAGCTTTTTTTAAGCTTACGATTGAAGCTTTTTGGTGTTGTTTTATTTTATTCTGGCTTTTAGTATAAGTCTTTTATATAAGTAACTTCAAGACAATATTTTCTGCTGGAAATTGCATAATAGTGTTTAGAAGTAGTGGAGTAAGTGTCTGATTGTCATTATTTTGATATCTTGGAGCTAGTGTATTCATTTTTTGTACGTGTCATATAAAGAACGATGAAAGATGTGTGAAATATAGGGTTGGTAAAGTTTTTATCTAGCAATATGATATAATAATATATAATCTGTCTTATAGTCCTTTCCGATAATGGAAGGTTTCTATGCATCTACTTGATGATACCTATTTTAAAAAATATTTTATTTAAAGACTCAATATTTAAGAAAAACTAAAGTATTTGGTTGGTTTGGTTAATTTGGTTTGGTTATTATATAAGGTTAACTTAATATTTAATTTAATACTAAATTGATACTCAATTTAAAAGCTTTATTTGGAAGTAATAATATGTACAGTATGAAATAATTGTTATTGATCAAATGATCTAATGTCTATGCGCTATGCCCTTGAATATCTCAACACTCATTCCTTACCAAATTAATAATAATCATTAATATGCCCAATAAATATTCATATCAAATATTTAGTATTTGTATTTACTACAGTAACTAGTAGCAACTGTATTCAGCCCTTTTAACGTCCCACTGCTGGGCTCGGGCCTCCCTTCAGTACGAGGGGGAATCAGGCCATAGTCCACCACGCTGGCCAAGTGCGGATTGGTGGACTTTACTTCACAAGTCTTTCGAAAACTTGCTAGGTTTTCTCAGACATGCAGGTTTCCTCACGATGTTTTCCTTCACCGTAAGACAAGTGGTAATCATGTTAGAAATGATTCGCACATGAAAATATCAGAGGTGCGAGACCCGGGATTTGAACCCACTTCACTCGGTTTCCCAAGTGAGCGCGTTACCACTGGGCTACCACTGCCTCATATAGAATGTATATATATTTATTAGCATATATTATATATTTAGTAGCAACTATTTTAGATTAATTTATAACACTAGCGACATAGCCCCTCTTCGCTCGGGTGCGCATGTTCTTAGTAAAAAACTGTTATTTTACATTACAACTAGACGCTCCAATTTTATTTATTTGTATAGATGACTAACTAATGTTTCTTTTATAGAATTGTAGACTTGGAGCAAGTTCAAATTTCAAATAAAACATTCTTGATTTATTATCTGGTTTCATAATTATTGGATGTTATTGGGTGTATACGTAATCTTACAATATTAAATGAGCAGATGTAGTATATTTACTCGAATATATAAAATTTCGTGTATCTCGGAAACGGCTTTAACGATTTGGATCAAATTATATATTTAGGTAAAGTTTAGATTCTTAAGTTTACCTATATAGGGGTCTTTTCTGAAAAAAATCGATGTTACCCTATTACCTACCGATAAGCTCGGTCGCCGATGTCGGTCGCCGATGTACTCTATTTTAAAGTCAATTGTTTAAATTTTCAGATAACATTGATGATATTATCGGTGTTATGCTGCGGCGCTATCGGCGTGGGTCTGTTTGGCAACGACGACCTCCACAATGCGATGCTACAGAGCATTCAAGCGGGCAACCAGCTGGCAGCTCTCGTTAACACCGTTAAGAATCAGGTATGTGACCTTTGTTTATAGTGATAACTAGCTGACCCGACAGAGGTTGTCCTGTCTACACATCTTTATTTTGAAAGTTTCAAACTTTTTTTAATAAGCTAAAACATTCTGGACCATTTTGATGAAAATTATTATTCAAATTGTGAATCTAAACCATTCTCAGATCCCCTTGAACACACACAAAAAATTTCATCAAAATCGGTCCAGTCGTTTGAGAGAAGTTCAGTGACATACACACTCACACAAGAATTATATATATAAAGATAATAAATCTATATTTCGGAATATTTTTCTATATAGCTAAGAAAAAATTGTATCCCTTTAAAAAAATAAATTTGTGTAAAAAAAAATTGGCCCAGGATCTTAAAATTTATGAGTCATAGCTGCCTTCTATAGAACGTATGACATTGGTGCTAATCATTATTGTTGACAATGAGATTAGGTTCGCATTGTTTGTTATATAGCTATTATCTATTGATATTTTAAGTAAGTATTATTGATTTATGTATGTATATGCAAATCGATACTTTATATTGTACATGCTGGGTTGGTTCGAGTGTCTGCTTTCACAGCTAAAGATATGTGTGGATTTATTATGAAGATTGTATGGATCAAATTTCTTATGTAAATATATTACTTGGTGTACTTTTATAAAACATACTCGAGAGAAAGTACTCACAGTGGGCAAGTATTCTACTGGCAAGTTGCAGAACTAACTTTGACTGATAACGTTACTATGTATTTGTATTAAATGTAAATAATATATTATAGATACATTTTAAAATTTAGATAACGTTAGTTCTAATATTAAATTAAATGAATTGTATTAAAATTTGCTTACGTTAGGGGCAAAAATAGTTACAAATGAATCCTAATCACCACCAATAAAAAGGGCATGCCGTTGTATAGTATCAACGCGTAACGGTGCAACTTATCGATGTTGTTTTTTTGCATAGGCCTATTTTGTAGGCCAGAGAGTATCGTAGACTTTTTATCTACTTTTTAGTATCACATTAAGCTATTAAGGTATTATGTATACAACGTTTTATAAATGTTCTAATGACAAACGTATCATAAACATTAAACTACCGTCTGTGAGTGTTTTTCCCTGATAAATTTAAAATAATGCAGAATGCTTACGTTCTGAATTTCATATATAATGTCAAAGATTAATTTGCGAAACAAAGTGTTAGTAATAAATCTTAAACAATTGCCGTCTCGATACAAACACGTCGACAGCGCCTTTACTGCGCGTGGAACGGGCATCGAATGCGCGTCGATAGTGCTTTAAAAAAAAGACGACTTTTTTCAACGGACTATCGACCTAAGAATCGTTTCATTCTACAAATATATTATAAATAATATATTATCCTATATATAAAACTAGCTTTTTGCCCGCGGCTACGCTCGCGTGGACTAAAAGTTTATTTAGTTTTAATTTCAATTAAGTTTATATGTTGTCACACCGAATTTTTGATATTATTTGTGCATTTATGTAAATCAATCAGATTCACTTAATTTATTCTTATCAGTCTAGACTCAACGTAGTCTTATATACCACATTGGTGGTTGTTCTGTCTGGTAATAAAATGTCCATGCAATTCTCATCAAAATTTAACGACTGGCCCTGAAATTTATCAATGGTAATTGCAAAGCGAACTTTAAAGGGGAATTGCAATCGATTAAATTAAAAATAATGAAAATAATTATTTATTATAAAATCCGATTTTCCTACAGTCAAGTATCCTAGAAGAAGCAATGGGTTCCCGAGCCCGAGCCCCGCTCACGCGCCTAGCTGACGCCCTGGACGCGCCCGTCGCTAACCAGACGGCTTTAGGCACGTTGCTACGAGCGCTCTCGGCATTGAGGAATAACGCGAGCGCCGCTGCGTCCGCTGCAGATAACTTGAGGAGACCTCTCGCTGCACTCAATTTGGATGCTTTTATGAAGGTAAATGTGGCTTCTGGAATATTCCAGATTATTCTAGAATGTAGAATATATGTATGTAGATGTTATAATGGTTTGGGTTTCGAAACATGGACTTCTATGATCGGTGATCATTTTATTCTATATACAAATATATTTCAATTAAAAGTTTGACAACTTTTAATTTGAATAAACTTTGAACTGTTATTAAGCTTAAGTTTAATAATACCTTACAGAATGCCATTGCTTACAATATTATAAGCCGTTGATATAGGATAATAATGATCGTAATAAAATTTAGACAATGACCGTATCAACATGTTTTTACCCACAATTTTATTTACCACTATGCAAAAATTATATTATTTATTGAATAAAGTAATAAAAACATTATATGACACCCAACATAACAGTATATTATATGTACTAAATATTTATAAGGATCGGTCAAGTTCGAGTCGCACACAAAGGGTACCATCGTTCAAGATATAACACTACGTAATAATTGTTAATAGGGCTGAACATGCTGAACAATACTAGTATAAACGAATTTTTTTATTTAGCATGGCGGTCATTTTGAAATTCGCCTTCTTGGCTTTATATTATTTATTTTTATATAGGTAATTTTTAACTCTTAACCTATGAAATATTGCCCGCTGACAGACAGACGGACGGACAGCGGGGTCTTAGTAATAGGGTCCCGTTGCCACCTTGCGGGTACGGGACTCTAAAATGTAAATGTAGTAGACTCGTTTTCCGCACTGGGACTCCCTTTTGGTCCGTACGGAATATACGGAACCCTAAAAAGCAGTAATGTTTCCAGCGGCTGTGGGTGTGGGAGGCGGCGCGCTGGGCCGGCGGCATGGCGGGCTGGTGCTGCGGCGGCGCCGTGTGCGTGGCGCTGCTGGCGGCCGCCGCGCGACGCTCGAGGCGTGCGCTTCTGCTGTTGTGTGTGAGTTCTCTGACTTTATATATTTATTATAGTTTTAATGTTGGGAAATGCATTTAGGCATCCACCTGTAAATGTACAGGTGGTTATGTGCGACTCAACGGTTAAGAGAAGTCAGTACTACCCACTAAAACCCGACGGAACCTCCTCCCTCTTAATTGAGGTGTCGCAAGATCGCTTACGCACCTTACTATGACACCTCGATGGCAGGTCTACCGAAGTAGACCACACAACGAAGAGGTTACTCCCTCGGTCCAATCTTAGAGGAGTACTAGGAGCAACACGACAAGGTGAACACACATCGGGGAGAAGATTGAATCGTCTCGTAATGAAAGTTTTAGCATAGCTAATCATATAATGCAGAATGACACAAATGCATACAAAATAATAATATAATAATAATAAAAAAAAACTCGTGTGTGTACTTAAGAAGTTATACTTCTTAGGCGTAACAGAACAAAAATAGCTAAAGATTTCATCCCGTATGTCACAACTCTCTGTTTGTAAAAGGAATGATAAATAAATAAAATAATTAAATAAGGCATATTAGGCATATTACAAATTCAATATATTCGTTCTAATCAGGTGATGGCGCTGGGCGCGCTGGTGGCGTGCTGGGCGGCGGGCGCGGCGCTGGCGGCGGGCGCGGTGGCGGCGGCCGACGCCTGCCAGGACCCCGCGCGCGCGCTGGCGCTGCACGCGCCGCACCGCCTGCCCGTCGACGTCAGTACACAGACTCGCCTCAAACTACTTCATACTATCTCAGATTTATGCGAATATTTGACATTTTGAATAAAACTATATTTGCGGATTTATTTTAATTTTTGGTTCTCGACGTTTTGGATCCTTGTGTGCAATCATGGTCAAGGGAAAGACATGATTGCTAAAAAGTATTCAAGTTAAATCAAATGATACTTTATACAAATAGACTTTTATAAGCATTTTTGAATCGTATTTATTTTTACGTATTAGTTAACTAGCGACTCACCCTCGTTTCGCTCGGATTCGCCCCTAGGTTGATTCCCCATACAAATTTTTCACTCCCGTAAGGGATAATTTCCGGGATAAAAAGTATTATATGACCTTCCCAGGGTCTCAAACTATCTTTTTATCAAACATCTAAATCGGTTCAGTAGATCCAGAGATTACCCACTACAATGTCACAAACCCACAAACTTTACCTCTATAATATTAGTATAGATATAGATAAATAAAGGTGTGTACCCAGATGGTGCACTACTACCTGTCGTGCAAGGTGTCGCGCGAGAACGTGCTGACGGCGGAGCTGCGCAACGCGCAGCGCGCCGTGGTGGCGGTGCGCCAGGCGCTGGCCGTGCTGTCGCGCGGCGCGCCGCAGCTGTTCAACGACCCGGGTTTGTTTGTGTTCTGTTCACATTTAAAATAATCTTATTGTTAGATTTACGCGAATATTTGACATTTTATGTAGAACTATCCTTTTTCGGAGGTTTATTTTGATTTTTGGTTTCCGGATGTTCCGTTTGGGTTTGGTGGGTAGTACTGGCTTTTCTAGCTAGCAGTAAGATTAACTGCCAACTAGGTGGCTAAACTCACTGAGGCTAGTCAGATGCACAGGAGATATTATAGTGCAGAACGTGTACGCGTAGACACAAGTGATATGTACTTCGACACGACCGGTGAGGGTTAAGGAGCATGACCGACGACTTTATGTGCTCTCTGAGGTACGGGGTGAAACGTCACCAACTTTCCAACTCCGAGCAGTTATTGAGACGAAATATTCAATAACTGAACTTGACCCGACCCGGGAATTGAATTCAGGACCTCCGGATCTATGGCCGTATACGCTATCCACTTCACTATAGAGGCAGTTACTACTACTCAGTGAGTATTGTAGCGGTATGTGCCTCCTTCCTACTAGTAGTTTAATAAATATATGTAATTCTAACATTAATAAAGTAGTCTTTCGTCGACTCTCGTCCTTACAGTATGATTGAGAATCAGTGAGAATGCTAATTGGTAATTGTGTACCGTGCAGGGCTGCAGCCGGCGCTGGGCGCGCTGGGCGCGGGCACGGGCGAGGCGGAGCGCGCGCTGGTGTCGCTGAGCGGCGCGCTGGAGTGCCGCATGGCGCGCGCCTACTTCGTGGCGGCCGCGCGCGCCGCCTGCGACGGCGGCCTGCAGGTGACGGGTTATCTTTGTTTTTAGGGTTGCGTACCTCACCTCTTTCCTGTCCGTCTGTCCGTGTATCACCATCGATCTTCTCAGGAACGGGTCGATCTAGCGAGTTGAAACTTATACCAGATACTGAGATATATAGTCCCTATTAGGCGTATAAAAATCAAGGTCCTGAGTCAACACGATAAAAAGATATGGGCAAATTCAAATTTTCGCGAAAACTTGTAAGTTCCAAAATTTACCTTAATTTTCAACTTTTTTTATTTTTCGAAATTTTTCTTACTTGTGCTGTAAGACCTTGCTTTTAACCAAAATTGACAATTCTAGGTCAACCGGAAGTACCCTCTAGGTTTTGGGTCGAAAACCTATATGGTAAAATCACGAAATTTGGCAAAAACCAAAGTCTTACAGCATAAATGAAAGAAAAATTCCAAAATATCAAAAAAGTTGATAATTAAAGTTAAAACAGATTTTCTACAAATTTGTACGGAACCCTCCGTGGGCGAGTCCGACTCTCACTTGTCCGTAATTTATTTGGTTTGTCTGTTTGTCTGTTTATGAAATTGAAGAACACGGTTATTGATACATGCAATGGTATTTTATTCCTATAGTTCGATTCAAACTTATTGGCGGTTCTGAAAATCGTACGTTTTGATACACAGAACGCAATGTTAGGTATCAGCGGGGCGCAGAGGGACGAAACGCTGCTTTTATCTATGTTTCCAACTAATATCCGAGCAGCCATTAAGTTTGCATCGAACTGTAACTAGCGATATATCATTGCTTAGCTCGAGTGTGTTCGTATGAGTTTTTAATATCAGGAATTGTGATTGTCACGGCAACACTTAAGACATTCAGATGGTTATTAATATTTTATTTTTGTTTATTTTATTTTTGATAAAAATTAAATGAATAATATTATATTTTCAGGCTTTATCACTCCAGTTGCTGGCCGCCATTGTTGCCGGTTTCCTGTTCACTGCGATTGTTCTAGTCGATTCCCATGCATGGATATACATTAACCCGAAGTAAGTAAAGATGTATTATTTTATTGAAAGGAAATAGAAGGGGAGCTCGATAGGGGATTTTGGGATTTAATCAAGCGCGATTGATTACTTTATACCAGTGTATAAGTTTGTACAAATAAGCATTAAGGTGACGAATAGTCCTTCTACTAAACGAATCTATACTAATATTATAAAGGCGTAAAGTTTGTGAGTTTGTGACGTTGTAGAGGGTAATCTCTGGATCTACGGAACCGATTTATATGAAATTTGGTAAGAAGATAGTTTGAGATCCTGGGAAGGGCATAGGATACTTTTTATACCGGAAATCATCCCTTAAGGGGGTGAAAATGGAGATGAAATTTTGTATCGGGGATCAAGCTAGTTTATTATAAAAAAGCGACTTACTTTAAGTGTTATTTTATATACATGTACCTATGAGTTGAAATCTCTCTGTATTTCAATAAAAATGAAGTGTATAAACTAAATAATAACAATTTTTCTGTCCCGGATATCATCCCTTAAGGGGGTGAAAATGGGGATAAAAGTTTGTATTGGGAAGCAAACTAGGGTTGAGCCCGAGCGAAGCGAGGGTGAGTCGCAAGTTCAATAAATGAAGCTAACCAAACAATATTTACTTTTTATCTCCAGACGCAGCGTGCCCGGTGAAGAGCAGGCGCCGTTCCTGTCGACGGGCAGCGCGGGGTCGCGCACGCTGCCGCGCCCCGCGCCCTTCCCCAACGGCAAGCCGCCCTCCTACAGCGCCGCCGTGCAGCTCATGGACCTCGCCGACCGAGACCGCGACCGCGACCGGGACCGGGAGAGGCCACGGTTCGTAGAGTTATAGTGTTCTGACTGAACGAGAGTGAATGATGATGTTCATCTAAGTGAACGAGAGTGAATAATAATGTCCAAACAAATGAAAGTGAATAATATTGTCCGTCTAAGTGAATGAGAGTGAATAGTAGCTGGTCGTGTGCGTGGGAGATAGTATAGTATAAACACAAGTGTACTCTACTCTTTTCATTATCATAATCGATGGGACGAAAATTTTACACGACTGGTGAGAGATAAGGTAGAACAACGAATATTTATGTGACCTCCTAGGCGCGAGAGTGATACACTTACAACTTCATAACTCCGGGCTGAAATGAGAGTTCCTAATATGAAAACCTAATAAATTACTCTCAACATGACCTCGGATTCGATATCATATTATTTACATATGAATTACTATTAAAATCGAAAGTGTGTAAGATTACCAATAATAATTACAAATGTAATATTTATTACCGTGTGTGCGTGGTGCGTGGTGGTGCAGGTCGCGCATGTCCGGCAGCGCGACGCTGGGGCGCGGCAGCGGCGGCGCGGCGGCGGGCGGCGCGGCGCTGGGCGCGCTGGGCGGGCTGGGCGCGCTGGGCGGCTCGCACACGCTGGGCCGCGCGCCGCACAACGGCAAGTACGCCACGCTCAGCAAGCAGTGCAAGACGCTCGAGAGCAACGACTTCTACTGAGACCGGGCGGGCGGCGCGCCACACGAACTGAATTCAGGTGATATCACTGTCGCTTATGGGAATTATTGATTACATACATTTAAGTTTTATATGGATACTATATATTAATTGGAATATGGTAAAAAATAATTTTCAAGTTAAGTTTTGATTACATAGAAATAATAAAAGCATGTTAAAAACTGTTTCTTTTAGTTGTTTTAAAATTGTAATTGTAATGTGCAAATTATTTCAATAGTAAATTTAAGAAATAAAAATAATAATATCAATAATTCAAAAATGTTACCTAAACGCGCTATGTGGGATAAAATATTTTTTACAACATTAAATGAAGGTTGTAACTAATAAATTAAAAAAAATTCCTAATAATTCAACATTTACCTTTTATTAACGCTAACCTTAATAAATAAAATTCCAGGTCAGGCTAACCGTTCAGGCTCGCTGAACCGCTTCGACCCAAAATACGCGTCGTTTGGGCCGCGCGCCCCGCGCCCGCGCCCGCCCGCGCCGCCGCCCGCCCTCGCTACCTTCTCGCCAGATGCTCCAAGGCACCACCCCCCGGCGCACCCCACGCACACCCCGGCGCACCCCACACATCCCCCGGCCGACAAGTACGCAACAGTGCGCCCCCAACGCCGCACCGACCCCCAACCCCTCTCCGCAGCCGCCTTAGAATATAGAAGCCTTCAACGACCGAGACGACAGCCCAACAATCAGCACCGACGGCGACACGAGGCACGTGACCCCCGCGACACACGTGACCCCCGCGAACAGCGTGACCCCCGCGACCAGCGTGACGCCCGCGACCAACGTGACCCGCGCGATACACGCGACACGCGCGACCTATATGCTGTTACGGAATTGTAGAACCAGCCGCCGGGGAAACAGCTATCTGTGCATCTCCGGTGCTCCTACGATTGCAAAACAGCAACGAAACTATAAGTGTTTTATATTCTCAACAGTGTCACGTGACTAAGTGAAGTGATGACGTGACGTGACAGCTTAAGATTTCTAGTGAAACTTCTATTAAACGAATCACTCGAACGGGTGCTATGCGGTATCATAGTGACGCAGAGAGTGACATAATGGCTACTTTATTGCCATGTTTGATCGATTTTTTATTTGTATTATGTAATCGAATCGATTAATCTGGTATCGATTTACCGATGCTATGTATATGACTGTGCTCAATTATATTATTATTTATATTGTGGTCTAATATTTTATACATATACTTTTATAGCACTTGTATTCATATATCTTATTTGTTTTGCACAAATGTTTTTATTTCTAGTTCGTGGCCTATTTATTTGGAAGTGTTGGCAAGATTTTGCTGGACGCATTTTGAATCGGTCTCTCGAGCTAGCAAAACATTTTTTTAAGTACAAGGATGTACATACATATATAAAAATAATTTAGAATGTTTATTTATACATTCATCGAACTTATAAATAAAAATAAATAGTGTCTCGCAACAATACTTGGCAAATTCACTTATGACATTAGGACTCGAACTTTTTTTGTAAACTTTATAAATAAATAAAAACTGTCTGAACGTTAATTGTTGCTTATACATATGTTTTTTTGTTTTTTAATTTTTGTGTACATAAAAGTCCACATATGGCTGTGCTGTAAAAGAATAACTGACAGAAAGCAACCGATACATATTTTTTTTATAATTTCTCATCAGTTACGCTCAATATAGACATAAGATGTAACACTATAACGGTAACAATGACCTAATGATGACATAACGAGTTAAATCAATAAACTTTTTTATATCTTTTCAGAAATTCGGGATTTATAAATAATAACGGTTTAGCTATAAGTATATAGAAGTAAATTAGTGGACATATAGGAGTATAGTGTTTGATATTGGCTCGGTATGAGTTTTGAATCTTATATGTTTTTCTTTAAGAAAATTGTATCTCACATAATCAACTCATTTTGGGTCATATAGTGCAAAATATAACTTATTGAAGATATAGGATTTCGATTTTTTTTTGTCAACTGAAAGGTTGATTTTGTATGTTAGTGCATATTATAAAAAAATGTACTAATTTAAATAAATTTTTCAAATGTATCTTTGTTATTTTGCGATGGAATATAAATTGATTAATAATTTTATAGTTAATTATATGAAAAATGAAAGTCAGAATATTAGGCAGAGACTTGAACACCAAAGCCTATATATTCACTGACTTCATAATATACAAACAAACTGTACATATTAAATTTAAATATTACATTGTCACTAGGATACTTTTAAAGATGGTATATTTGAAAATTACACATCTCATTAGTTTTTTTTAAATATTTATTATGGTAAATGTAAAATTAACCAAATTTAATTTATTACTAATATTCAGTAATACATGACAGATGTGACGTAAGTTCTAGTGTAGTTTCAACTGAATTGCATTGCAATTTAAGGGTTACAGCTTATTTCATTGACATATAATAATAATCTAGTTTTGTGTAAACAAAACTTTTTTTAATCTACCCCCAGTTATTTGGAGTGATTTAGAAATATGCAATTAGAATCTCGTAATGGCGTAGCGTTTATTTCATTGTTTATACAATAAATATAATAAAAATCGGCTCAATCGGTTTTATCTAGTTCAAAATAGTGGACCTAATTGTATATAGACTAATATTAGGTATCCTTTCATATGCTATGTTAGAAACATCTGTTTCGTAAGTAATCATTCCAAGTGTGTAGCTAAAGTGGAATTGGTAGTGTAATATGAAATCGACCTAAGTACATGGTTATAAGGTGCAAACTAAAACTGCCATTTGACGAAAGTTATTAGGAATAATTGGACAAATTGCTCTTGCTATAACACCACAAACGTACTTTAATGTAACAGAATATGATCACGGAAATGTCTTGTCGGTAGGCGCCGCCATACTTTGCAATACTTCACCTGAACAAGCTATTAATAAAACTTAAGTAATGAGAATACTTATAAAAACGGTTTAAATTTTACCGTTCGTAAAAGGCGGCGGCTGTATAAACGGATTTCATAGTCAATAAAAAAAAGTTGACATATTGACAGTTGAGGAAATGTCGATTTTTGCGCTCCAAAAAATTTTCGCGATCATTTTTCTAACCTAATATTCGTATTAGCTGTAAATTTATATATTAGTGTTAAGCAATGTGGTACCAGTTTTTATTCAGTATTATAATAGAAAAATTTGTGAGACTTTACAACGACATTAAATTTTTTATGGTCGATGTATTTTTTTCTCAACGTTATTTCACAGTACCGTAAGCAGTGTATTCGCCAAAGATAATGCATAATTTAATTATAAGTAGTAAACGTAAGTATTGTAAGATTTTAGATTTTCAGTGGCTGCTGTGTGTCGCCATTATCATTTTTTAAATAAATTAGGTATTGTACAAATTACTTTACAGATTTTGTCGAACAATACTATCCCATGTCATGTTATTTTGTGAGTAAATACTTGCTCAATTTTTTTTGTACCATTATAGAATCAGTTTTCTTATATTATATGTAATAAATGTTAATTTCATATTTAAATCTTATTGCAGTGTATTATCTAACAAGAGACAGTTAAGTCTATATAAAACTTAATGGACAAATCTACATACAAAAATATGCTAAAAGTAAGTTCACAGTTTTTCGATGTAATAAATGCACACTATTTATCAACATTTATTAATATAATTAGACATTTGTAAAATATTTTAGAGGTATTTAGAGTTCTGTTGTTTCTTATTTCTAATTTTGAGAGCATTTTTTACTGATGGAGGTCCATACATGAAACAAAGTTACCAAAGCGTGGTTAAATAAAATTTTAAATTGTGAACGTCTGTGTAAGTTAAATGTACGTGCCATAGTTTTGAAAATTATTTGATTTGATTTTATGTATAAAGAAATTAAATTGAGATTCTAAAACTATTATTTCGTTCCCGTATGTTTTCATATTTATGTCTTAAGTATCTGGATACGTTCTAGAACGGCGTACTAAAAGAACTAAAGAATATCCTGGTCTTTGTAGAATATCCTTTTGTTAATTTATACTATAATTTATTTTAAATATGTATGTAGGTATTTAGTTGATTGTTTTCATTATCATTTGCTTCAGGCATTACTATTTTTGCTTTTTCAAGTCAATTATGGTGCGAGTATGTTAACTTTATTAAATAATTTCCATTTTACATTGCAAGGGAACATAGACTTGTGATTTATGCATTTTTTCTTATATTGGTTTACGTATTGGAAGTAATTTAATATTAGTACGTAAGCCTTTTTATATTTTATATCAGGTTCTACAAAACATTGGCAAAATAAATTTTATTGCAAAAATTATAAAACATAATTTTTTGTTTTGTGAAGTGCTGTTGTAAAATAATATAAATAGATCCTTCTTGAACGTAATTACATAAAATCATATTTATTTTATACAAATTCAAATATTGTGTTCTTGCAATGTAAAAAGGAAGTATAGGTGATGTAATGTCTTGTCTAAGGTAAATTATAAACGGTTGATGAATAGATCAAGTGTATGGGTTTACAATGCAAATAATAAATGGATAAAAATATATAGTGTTGTTATTTACTAAAAAGTTTTTTTTTAATGAAAAAACAAGTGATTCACTAGCGCTTCCTTTAGAACTGCTTGGCAGCTTTTTTGCATCCAACTAATTTAAGACTTGAAAAATTTTCGTCAAGGTTATTATAATTTAAAAATCAGTGTGCATTTTGAAAAAACATTTTGTTAGATGTAACTAACTGGTCATGGCTTCATTCAAGTTTAAAAAAAACATCTTATTTGTACAAGTTTCATCTAACTCTCAATCTTATGATCCAATTAAAGTTTAGTCGAGTTTACAAGAAAACGAGTCAGAAATATGCTAATTGCTAGCTCTCGTTATGTGGTTTTATTTTAAACTAGCGACTCACCCTCGCTTCGCTCGGGTTCGTTTAGGTACGTTTTGTTTTTTTGAGCGGAACCCTAATTCTCTTTCTAAAATAAAAGTAGTCTATGTTACTCCCTATAACATCAGCTATCTTCCAGTGAAAGTCCAGTTTCATAGATTATCCGGAACTAACAGAAAGACAAAAATTAAAAAAAATACGGTTTTTCTTATAGTATATAATTTCATATGCATTTAGTAAAACGCTGTTATTTTGACATTACAAACAAACACTTCAATTTTATTTATCTGTATAGATTCACCCTTTTCCGGCCTTCACACGTCAATTTCACTTTTAATTTTCCCAAACAGTAAGTAAGTACCATTTTCAGTGGATAATATAATGAAACTGTGCTTAATTCACTCCGTGAACATATCTTACCCTAAGCCTAGTAGACAATAGTGCATAGGCTCCATTCATAAACGAGTCTCTAATTCGTTCATGGCTCCATTGTACCATAGTAATAAATGTTATTCGATCACCTTTCTATGGCAGATATTTAGTATGTATATTAAAGTCAAATTGCTGTTTCTTACAGTATTTATTTTAATCATATACATATTTGTATAAAATTTAGTACTTTATAAGGAAGTAGACCTATTTGGAATTCCCTCTTCTTATACTTAAAACAACTTGATTTTATTTCTCTAGAAACCTAAGATAGTTTTAATTTATTATTTGCAAGAACAAATAAAATAAAGCGAAAATAATGCTTTCTGTATGCCATTTGTACCAATATTTTTTATTAAATTTAAAAGTCTTAACACGTTTATTAAAGACTAGCGGCTCACCCTTGCTTCGCTCGGGTTCATCTCTAGGAAAACAAAAATAAACCTATCCCACGGAAACCGTACGTTTTTCCGGGATAAAAAGTGTTATTCCAGACTATAATCTATCTCTGTGCCAAATTTCATCCAT